TCAAAATGCGCATACATAATTCATTACTATTCATCGTAATCCAAAGCCCTGTAATGAATAAGTTCAAAACCGCTTTGGTCACTTGAAGTTACAATTTCAATTGATTTACTTTTTGGCAACATTAAGTAAGAGATAAGTTATTGGTCGAAGGTCGGGTGGTCAGTTGCTTGTAAATGTCACCATAACCAGATATACATGATTGAAGTCCTTTTTGGAATTTAATACTCCTTTCTTAATTGGTATTTATTTTAAGAAAATACTTTTTCAATTTGTTGGAAAGCTGGATTCCTGTATATTTTTATCGCTCTCAAAGAATCCAGTTCTTCTTGGCCACGTCTTCATAATCTATCAAATTATTCATAAAATGTCACTGTCATTGAAAGTTTCGTCTTCAATGAAGCGCGGGCTGCTGGAGCGTTTAGAGAAAGCAACTTTATGCACATTGTCGGGAGACTGTTTATAACAAATTTACAGAGCGTCTTGAAGTGTCTACATTTCAGTGGCGTAACGTACACCCCCGCACCACGGGAGGAAGGACTCTAGGGGTCCAAAGCTTGACTAACGCTAAATACGTATTTACCCAATTTATAAAATATTAAAGGCGAAACCTGACTTTCAAGGGGAAGGGAGGAGCATAACATTCTCCGTTACGCCACTAGTAAATAGATAGAAAACATTACAGTGGTGCCAAAGCCTTTGAAATTCATATGCCGCATAAAAAAAAGATCGCACAAAAAAGAAAATGGAATAAAAAAAGACAACACAAAAACAGGTTCTACTGTATATATAAAGCTTAATAAAATCCAGTACTTAATCCAATACAATAATACTTATTGGCAGATGTACTGCCAATAAGTATTATTGTAAAATCAAATATTGTTAAAATTAAGTCTTTATTCAAAAATTTGTGTTTAGTTAATACATTTTTTCCTCTCTTTTCCAAAACTCTTATTTATTAAATTTCATTCCAATCGTCATTTCGTTAAAGAAATATTTTTCTATTTACCAAATTTTCTTATTTCATTGATTTAGTCAGCTATAGGACTTTTCTGATAATAGAACTTGTTTTCTGATAATAGAACTGTCTATATTTTTAATTTTCTGCGTATTTTATTTTCTTACTTCCCCAAATTTATACTCTGTGGGATTTTTACTTCCTCATTTAAATTGAAAATCAAACATGGATTGGTGGCCGTGGTAACTAGTGATCATGGTCACGAACTCGTGACCCTCGTTTTTCTAGTCGTGGGTTTGTGAGTCCCGGTACCACTGAAGATCAGCCGTATAGTTGGGTTGATGCACGTTAAATTTGTTGTGGCTCAAAGTCCTCACATTGCTATGGTTTGGAAGTTCGGGAAATGTGATGCTGGCTCAGGTGTTCTCGTCGCTTGTACTTGGCTCAAAATTATGAGATCCTTCTCCAATAACTCTCATGTGCTTTAGCGTGCGACGCTAACCAACACTCACGCACAGGACCGATCCTAGGGTGTCGACCGCCTTCGTGCAAAGGCCTAATGTGCCGCCCCTCTAGAGAATTTTTCATATTTTGACTAATACTTAACGTTGAAACTATAGACTCATCTACCTGTATTAAAGTAAAAAGTAAAACATTATTTTTTCTAGGTCATAATAGCGACAAAATACTTTAATTATATAATAAACAAACAAAAGTACTCCTTTGAAATAAACATAGACATTTGATAATTAGAAATATAAAATAACTGTATTGACTCAGAAAATATAATTTAATTAAAAAAAAAGTACTAAACCATATAAATCTCGTGTAAGGGGTGAGTGAGTGAATATTAACGTCGCACTGTACCACTACGCGAGGGCTTTTGGTGACGGACAACGTAATTTTGAACCATGGTCAAGTGACGTGGACCATACCTGAGCTGCCCCCCTTTCCTAACTACCACATTACATCAACGGGAGGACGTTTCAGCTCTCGACCGATATAAAGTGCATCGCTGCCCTACACGGCCTCGTGTAACGGGAAATATGTGTACGTCAGTTCTTCTACAAAAAGGTGACGGGTCTATCCACGCGCGTGTTTTTTAAATACTAATCCTCTTGGGGAAAATATTGGGTCTTTAAAAATTATTATATTATATACAGCTTTCTTCTCCCCTAAGAAGTGACCATGCAAATTAAGACTTGTATATAAAGTTGAAACTTTCTGGTTAGAAAAGAGAGATAGGGTAGACTGCTAATGGGAGCAGTGATTAATTAAACTTGAACTAGATACTTAGTTGCTGATATTTTAATATCTAAGTTGACGATCTGTCACTTTAGAATTAAGCTAGATTAGGTACCTAGGAGGTAAAAGCTATTGAATAGATTTAAGTGTTCTAATTATTTAGAGTCTTCTTATATCTCACGTACCTCGTTAATTGCTCTCCATACTTGATAATTGGGTGCATCTCTTAACTTTGGTTAATTTAATTTGTGTTGTTGTTGGTACTGTGAATAAATTGAGTTTTATTCAAGTTAACTTCTTATGGCACGGTAGGGAAAAATTTTCGCTACTCGTTACCAGTGTGCGTAGATAGCATACTAACATAACATTTAACCAGCGCTACATGATTTGAAGGGAAGTTTTTTGGAAAGAGCCAGATGAAACATATGTATAGAAATTAATTGCAATTTAAAAGTGATATGTACTGTATAAAAATTGTGAAATGTAATCATAATGTGTAAAACTTTGTTTTTTTTCAATTGACAATTTTTGTTTCAGGGTGACAGACCCTGAAGTCTATAGGAAATTAATGAATGGTTTATCTATCTTTATGCAAAGAACAGAACAAATGAGAAGCTGTAAAGAAGAAAAATTGTTAGAATATTAGTAAACATTTAGGTAGAATTAAGTTAGTTAACAGACGTGTGGGCCTCGTTTTTTCTACCATTTAAGTCATATATGGGTTTTCCCCGGCTCTGTTACCCTGATGGGACACGTCTATTTATTTTGTACATGTGAGAATCTACCGTGATTAAAATGCATGACTATGAATGTTGGTCTAGTTAATTGAGTAAAATTTATTGTGGAAAATTCAAATTAAGGAGAAATATTAAAAATTAAACTTAAGAGGAATAGTGAAACTTAAAATTTGAGTGGAGCATTAGAAATTAACGGTTAGAATGAATATTTAAAGTTAAAATTTAAAACGTGGGAAGTTAGAAGTAGAAGAATAAAATTTAGGCACGTAATTTCTTAAGGTCCATTAAGACCCTCGAATAAATCACGTTTTGTTTCTTGGAGGGATTGTGACGTCTTACGCGTCTTTTCTTTAACAAGTCCTTTGGGTTCTTTGGGCCAGAATTAATGGCAACTCTTTTCCAACCAAATCCAAGAAATGAGATGTGAATAAGAGATGCAAATAAACGGACTTTAAATATCGGATCTCAGAGTAAGCGGGATGGCAATGTAAAGGAATGTTAGACAATTGATGTGCGTTGTGGCTTTGATGATTATTACAGTTCGTGTTTCAAGATTAAATAAGTTGTGCGTGACGTGGATATACATATTGGTGTTCGACTAGAAGTTATTCGCAAAGCTGCATCCCATTGCAGATAAAGACAAATGCTATTACAAGATATAATAAGGTAGGATTGATTATTTAATATTAGAATCGAGGATTAGGTGGTTCGCTTATTGAGATTGGTCTGAATTAGATTAGATCTTATTATATATATATATATTGAGTGTTGCGTATTGCGTCGTCGTAGATTCTCTCATATTAATTATTATAATTGAATTGGTTAAAGGTTTAAGTTAAATATCTTAATAAAGACATATTAAGATAATGTTTGATCCTAGTTCTTTCGCTAATCCTACACCTCTAGCTCACGCTGATACTTCGAGAGATGTACTTCCAAGAGGAGGTACATCATAACATTTACATAATGTTTAACTCAGTAAACTGTTAGTTAGACAAATGTATATATGATAAAGTATATCAACTCGTATATGATAATAAATAATTCCCTAATAAATGTAATTAATGAGTATTTCAAGAAACTGAAATATCTTTTTCATTGTGCATCAATTATGTGTATGTATATTTGTCAAAATATTTTTTAAAGTATATTTATAACTTTATCTTTCATTTCAGGATTTGTGAAAACTAAATAAATTTTCGATGTTGTTAGAGAATTTCAAGTACATTTTTCACTATATTTTGAAAGAACTACTTATGATGTTTTAATCAATATTATTTGAAAAATATTAAACAGTCTCTATTCATATTTAATGCTATAAATTGTAAATTTCAATAAATTTTAAATATTTTTAGTGAAACTTTTATTCACACACACATGATGCTTATATGTGTTACATATTTAACTATACGTACTCATACACTTCACTGAAAAAATCAGAACTAAAAGTTCTCTTGAAGTAACTCTTCAGTTTTGTAGATTTGAAATCTAAAGAAAATAAAGATATTGTGCTATTTTAAAAGAGAGAGATACCACTTATTTCTAGGCCAGTGTAACAATTCTATTTTTTTGGAAAATAGTTTTGTTGAATCTTGGGATTTTAAAATTTCACTCTTACTAATTTTTTTTTCACTCCAATTCGGAATGTTTCAATCTAGGGAAATTCCGATTTTAATTAATTTTCTTTATGAATATTTTGTACACCCTCAGAACAATAATTAAGACAAAATACTAACTTACTTTCAAAACTTTACTGTTACTTGATTTATATAACAAGTAATATAAAAAAATAGGTGGATTCCTATTTAGGTCAACAAAGAAAACTTTTATTTTAGTTACTTTTTATTAAATAGTTACAATTAATATAAAAATGTATATACATATGACAGAATCACAATATTAAGTGACATAATAGAAAGCGATTTTCCTTGTTATTCTCCATTTTCTTTTCTATATATAGTTTTGGACTATTTTTTGCGTGTGACTATTTATTTACATATTAAATTTAAATATTCTAATAAAATAGTATAGTAAAAAATAAAACACATTTGCAGGAATTAGGCCATCCCAGGAGGGATTCGAACACACGACCTTTTGATTAGTAGTCCAAAGCGCTACCCATTGCGCTACTGGGACATAACGAGCAATTTTCCTTTCTTTTTTGCTGTTGGACTATTATTTTTGTTTCTTACTATTTATTCAATTTCTAATTTAATTAATGATTTAATATTTGAAAAAATATTAACATCAAGTGTCATTCACTACAAATTTTAAAAAAAGAAATGTATTTGAATTTGAATGAATAAATAGAAAGTATTTTATTATTAACGATTGAAAACTTAAACAAGATATATATATATATATATATATATATAGGAAGAGAGTGAACTAGTAGGAGAATTGAAAAAGGAGGGGAATAACATTTCTTTGTAGTTTAACAATACAAAACAATTAGCTGATATTCAAAAAAACTTTGGAACAGAGAGTGGAATAAGATATATATATAGTATAATGAAATAAAATAAAATAAGATACCATGTGAAAAAGTTGCATAACCAATAATGCCAAAGAAGAAAGAAATTGGAGTTCAAGAGACATAACAAATGTAGATACAAAAAGAGTCTTTGGACTAAAAAATGGAGACATATGATTTCTAGAGCTGTTCCTAAATTAAGCCATCAATTTAGGGTTGGTACGACTTTATGGATCTACCTTCCCCGTACAGCAGAAATTTTTGACATAATAAAAAAAAAGAACCATGTTGAAAAGTTAAGCCTATTACTAACACACATGAATAATATACCAGACAGTAAAGTAAAATGAAATTATTAAAAGATAACAATAATGTTCCTCTCATTGAGAGGAGTATTAAGAAAAAATTCTATAGAAAAAATTAGGATAAAAACTTACATGTAAAAATGAAACCCATAAAAAGTGTGCAAGCATGCAACTTATGCAAAACACTCGCATATATATACACTCAGGAACATTGAAAGTAGCGACCCAAGAAGGAAGCTAAGTACAATCGCGAAACTTTGCAAATAAGTGCAGCGTAATGTGATTTGCAAATGATCCAAGTTTTGTGCCAATACGCATGCTCATACACGCCGAAGTGGCGCAACAATCAGGAACAGGGTGCTATATAAGCCAGCGCAAATTCGAAGATTCATAAACGTGACGATTACCTGCCGATTGTAGGAAGACTTTGGTAAGCGAAACATGCCAGGTAAACGTGCTAAAAGACATTTCTCACATTTCAGCGAGTCAGCCTGATCATCGGGATGAAAACTGCAGGCTGGTCGACGCGCCATGTTGCTGGACAGGTGGATCGTGCGGAGTGTGCCGTTAGAAATTGTTGGGAGCAGTGGACACGAGAAGGTACCCACGCGCGGAAAACCGAGTCTGGAGCGACCAGGAAGACCACGAGGAGAGAGGATCGAAGGATCGTGCGGCAAGCACTTGTGGACCCCACAGTGACTCGTTCAACGATACGAGCAGACGTAGGCGTAGCAATTGTTCCACAAACAATTTCCAGACACCTTGCAGAAGCAAATCTTAAATCCAAGCGCCCTTTCTGTGCACTCCCTTTAACACCGGAACATCGGCAACTGCGTCTACAGTGGTGCCAAGCCAGATCAATGTGGAATGTCACAGATTGGCAAAAGGTTGTGTCTAGTGATGAATCCCGGTTTGTTTTGGGGACAGATGATAACCGTGTACGGGTGTGGAGGCGCCCTGGTGAGCGGTACACTGTCCTACGTCACACTGCACACACAGCTGGTGTAATGGTCTGGGGGTCATAGCCTATGATATCCGGTCCACTTTAATTGTGATGCGTGGAACCTTAACGGGCCAACGTTACGTTGATGATATTCTTCGACCCCATGTAGGACATTTCCTAAATGGTCTCCCAGGGTCAATTTTCCAGCAAAGAGAGTGAACTAAGTGTAAGAATTGAAAAAATTTGATCAAAGATGGAATATTTCCTTCATTACTGTTATGAAAAAGGAGTACAGAGATGAATGTCATGTTCAAAAAATCCAACATATACTCACGGACAAAAAAATTAGCTCACCAAGAAGGAGTCGTTAAAATAAAACGAAGTCTTACATACGTAAGGAGTACTTTGATATAAGTAAATGATTAGAAGAAATCAAACAAACGGATCATTCATTCCAGAGAATAAGGCAAAAGAACGAAGGATTTAATACCCTGTTGAACCCCCTCTAACGCGAATGCACGATGCGATACGATCGGGCATTAAGACACACAAGTTTTGAAGCATTTCGTACCATATTTACTGTAACCTTGACTCTACTTCGTTCAAACTCTTGGGACGCCCAACTAGCCGTCCCAAATGATCCCTGATATGCTCGATAGGAGACAAATCAAGGGATCGGGCAGGACAAGGAAGGGTAGTAAGAATGCGGAGACCGTCTTGTGAAACCCTTGCCGTGTGAGGCCGAATATTGTCATGTTGAGAAATGGCTCCTGGAAGGCGTTGCATGAGTGGCAACACATGGGGTTTCAGGATGTCATGGACATACCGCTGGGCTGTCATGGTGCCACGGATCAATACTAGGGGTGACTGTGTAGTGTATTCAATGGCATCCCATACCATCACACCAGCTTTGGGGGCTGTGTGTCGCTGTAAAGCAAAGGCAGGATTGAGGCGTTCACCACGGGGTCTCCAGACACGAACACGATTGTTATCACTGCTGAGATTGAATCTGGATGCGTTGCTCAAAAGACTACGTGGTTTCATTCCGCTGCAGTCTAGTTTCCTCGAGCGCGGCACCAGTCCAAATTGAGGTGTCGAGGGTTGGGCGTCAAGGGCAGCACACGTAATGGGCGCCACGATCCCAAATGTCCTTCAGCCAGGCACTTCGTATGGTCCGAGAAGACACAAGGACCCCTTAGTGAAGATGCTACCTGTGCCTAAATGGCGGCAGATGAAGCAGTTGGCTGTACTCGTGCATTTCTTACGATGTGGCGGTCTTCTCGACGACTGGTCTGTCGAGGGCGTACTGGACCTGGTCTTCGAGTAAATGACATCTCTCGGATCCGCTGGTCCCAACGTCTCCTCATAATACAATCAGAGTGGTCAAATTGTCGAGCTACTCGCCTAGCTGACTACCAAAGCTTCCACCATTCCGATGATTCTCCCCCTCTCAAACTGTGACAGCTGCTCATATTGTCTTCGAAAACGGCGTAATGGCATTTCTACCTCAGCTCTTGCTTTGTAAACACTTCAGCACACTCAAACAAGCTTTGGTTACCTGTTTTATACTCCACGGAGAACGACGTAATGTGCAATCACGCTGCATTTCTAATCATTTGCATATCTCCCCGACATGTACCTTCATACTAAGTTTCGTTACGATCCCGTAATTATTTCTTTTTGCACTAATCTTTTTGTCCATGAGTATATATTGAAGCGTCACACTTATTTTTTAGATCTTAAAGTATAGAGGTTTTGCTCTTTAATTTTTTGAGAGCAAAATATATAAATTTCTTTAAAAACCCAATAACTAAAACTTTTTGTTAGCTAGAATTAAAAAAAAATCGCAGCTATTGTTTAAATGTTATCTCACGAACTCAAATATAAGAACTAAGCATAATCATAAAAAGTGCACACAGAAGCTGTCGGAAGTTTACTTAGCTGACTAAATATAATGGATTTCGGAATGAACCATTCAGTATTTTTAAACAAGACGGAATGGATCAAAGAAAAGCCATCGCTTACTGTCTTAGATTAAAGATTTTTTAAATTTATTTTTTACTTTCATTTTCTCAAGAGCACTTAATATCCCATAAAAGTCTGAAAATTTTGAGGCTTGTATAAAATATAAAATGCTGTATAAATTGGTTATGGTTCAAGGACATCTAGAAACTGCGTTGAGAGCAGTGCTTCTCAAACTTTCTACACTGGAAACCCAATTTTTAATCCTAATTTTCATCACCCCCCGCATATGATAACAATGCATTAAATTCAATATTAATACACTTTGACGTTAAGCTTGTGAAAATCCCCTTGGATCTCACTTTGAGAACGAGAATAAGTTGGAGTCAGATAAGAGCCAGTAGCCATTTTTATAAATAACTTTATTTGGTTATCTTTCCCAAATAGAATCAAAGACTTTTAATAACAAACAATTCAAATTAGTTTTATGAGGTTTAAAAGGGACTTTCCTTTAAATTAACTTAAATATTTAATGATCCGATTAACTAACAATTAGAATATCGATCACGCAGAGATTACAGCGATAAGAGATCCCAGAATTATATTCAATAATGTTCCCATTGAACATTTAACTTTAATCTCACTCCTAATATAAAGCTTTAATAAGACTTTAAATATAAATCAATATTTACCACACTGAATTTCAACTCTTCCTGAGATTAATTTATCCAACTAGAAATCTTCAATAATAAATCTCTAACTTCACTATTATACCTTTCTGCTTCAATCTCTCTCTCCTACTGCTTTTTACTTTACTATTCCGTTTGACTTAAATACTTTATCTCATCTGCATAACAAGGAATCCTGTCCTCTTTTTGGAGCTGATTGGAAATAAGTAGGGGAATTAAATTTCCCTAAAAAAGACGTCTCAGAAGGTTAGTGAGAAAGTTCCGTATAGGTTTGTCACAAGCTACAATAAGAATTTAAATATAAACAATACAAATTATCAAGATAAGTATTAAATTTTGTATATAATTTTATGACATGCCCGTAAGGTCACTGGTAATTATTAGACTTGTTTTTGACTTAGTACTGTTAAATTAATCAGGAAATATATTTGCAGTATTGATACATTTATAAGTGTACAATACCAGCGTAAACGTACATTTTATTTTGGTCTGAATGTATTACCAGAATGTTAATGAATTACAGAATGTATATATATATATTTCGGTAAATTTTAATAATTTTTTGAATAACATTTTGATTTTGACTTTTCAATAATCTCGTCCCCACCCCCGTTGTAAGGATATCACGCCTCCTAGGGGGACGCGTCCCACAGTTTGACAAACACTGATATAGGGTGTCTCGAAACTCAACGTCAAATGGGCAGGGGGTGAAAGGGGAAGGTTAGTCAATTAATTGATAATTATCATCCCAAAATATGAAATTG